CATGGCCTTGGAATACGTATTCTGGGAGAAATGTGAGGCTATTATTAAGGAATATTTCCTGTTATAAACTCTTTAACCATTAGTAAATCTGTTCTCCTTGCATTTGGTGTTGTTCATTAGTGTTAGGAGATGGAATTTTACCACTAAGAAAAAAGTACATGGCTTTACTTCTTTCTTGTCTTCAAATTTTATAAGGTTTAGTTAGTCCCCATATGGAGACTTGGCTTGATCACTATTGTCGAAAGTTTCCAACAAGCTCTTGAGATTCCCTCTTTAGGGCTGGTGGAGAAATCCCCCCACCTGGTACTGAGCAGGGCTTAGCTCCATGATCCTAGTTTGGCAGCCTTAAAGAGTTGGGTGCCTTCTGCAGTGTTTGTTTATGGAAACAATGTAGATTAAAAAAAAAATCAAAATCTCATGCTATATTTCAGAACAACAACCAACTAATAAGTTTCAAAAGCTTCCAAACAAAAATATATACTACCCGAAAGAAATTCACATGCTCCAATTTTAAGAAAATTACCTTGAGGTAAGATTGCTGATTTTTAGACATTTTATTGGATTTATTGGAAAGGTACGGAGTTTATTAGCAGGGTTACTTGGGCCCTGTGCTAAGAAGCAATGCCGTGGAATTGTGGGGAGAGAGTTTCATAACCACATCCTTACAGATACAGAACATTAAGCAAGAAACCACGATCAGTTCTCTAAGAGTTGTTAACTTAGACAATTGGTCTGTAGACAATTGGACATGGTTTACTCAGGTCAGGATACAATATCTCTTCTTCATAGGTAATACATTTGGATATACATCTTCCAATAGAGCATACCATTTTCATGCCCCCTCTCCTAACCTTTTATCAGAGGAAGAAAAGCCCCAACTTCATATAGTGAAGTTTCATTATAGGACATAGGATCATACTTCTCATACCAGCAGCAGGACCATATTCTTAGAAGGGGATCTCTGTGACCAAAGGCTAATGCTTTGAGAAGGGGGCAACATTTGGGAGGCAGGAGCCTTGGTCTTGTGACAAAGTCGGGTGCACCACACTAGCACTTAGGGTGCATGTATTACACCCTCGGTCACCTTACAGCTTTTGAGGTGAGAGGTGGGGCGAGAGGGGGATGAAGAAATCATTGCCTTAGTTTTGAGAAATGAAGCAGGGGGAGGGAGGAGGTTATAAGGATGAGTCCTTAAGTCCATCTCAAAATGTAAAACAATTGTTTACATTGGAATATAGGCTGGGGATGAGATATATAAGGGTACCTACAAGGGGTGCCTAAGTAAACATTTCCAAAATAAGAAAGGTAATTGTGCTTACCTTTTGGATGTCTTGTGCTGTTTCTGAAAAATAAAAGGGTTTTAAAAGAATTTTTGAGGATTAAAAACATATCTCATACATAGGTAAGCGCCCCTATTTTATAGGATTTTAAAACTTGTTAATAACTGAAACCCGAGAGGCTTTTGGACCCTTTAGACCTAATTCTCAGAAAATGCCTCTCAGTTATCTTCGTTATATATCCTGTTAGTATATGTGTAAAAAAAAAAAAAAAACAAAACCCAAAACCTTACATACATCTGAGTGTCAAGTACCTTTCTTAATCCCAGAGAGCAACAGACCGATTCATGGTAATAAGTCTCAAAATCTTCCCCCCAAATATGTATTATCTGAAATACACACCTTAAGCCATGAGAATCACTTAAACATAAGACTATGCTTCTATTAATTTTTAAACATTTTACTGGTTTTCCCTGAATGTCACAAACAGCATTTATCACTGGGGTCACCTTGGCACTGTGCTAAGGAGCAGTAAAGGTGGGTTTCTGGGGGACCTGTACATAGCCACATCCTTACAGATGCCCTTTCAGATACCTCGATGATGTGTGGCTCCTCTTTAAACACTGTTTAATTACAGAAGCATATAAAGTAAACGGTGATCGAATCCTCTCCACAAATCCCACCCTGTGGAAGTTATCATACGTAGCAGTCGACGGTCCTCTTTCCAGTTCCATACCCACTGACCCTAGCCCACCACAATGCACGGTTTTGTTTATGAAGTAAAGGTGCAATATGCAGCATTGCATTTCCCGCTAAATGTACGTGGACACGCTTGTCAGTAGGGAAGGAGGTACTGCACTGTTTTTGACAGAAACTGCAGAATATTCCACACAGCCTTCCAGGATATACTACAATTTATTTAACTCCTTCCCACTAGATGGGCATTTTATGTGCTGTCCTATTACAAATGCTGCAAAGAAAACACACACACACTTGGATCTAGCCACACTTGGGGGAGCACTTTTATATAGGAAGTACATGTTGTGACATTTATAAAAGTGAAAAAAGTGAAATTGTCAAGGGCAAATGTGGATTTTAAATTTAAATGCTCCAAATTTTGCTCCAAAAAGGTTGCAGAAATTTAGACACCATTCGTTTTGGAGTGCCTGTTTTTCTCTATATTTTGGTTGAGTTCACAGCTTTCCCCTTTCTATTTATCTCCTTTAAATGTATGATTTTTCTGATTACTAACATGGATGACCATTTATAAATTGTATCGACAGTTTGTGTTTTTTCTATGAAACTGCCCAATTATATTCTCTGCTTTTCATTTTTATTATCCTTTTTAGAAGATTTTATTTATTTATTTGAGAGAGAAAGAGAGAATCCGAAGCAGACTCTGCACTGAGCACGGAGCCTGATGCAGGGCTCAATCCCATGCCCATGAGATCACGACCTGAGCCAAAAGCAAGACTTGGATGCTTAACCAGCTCAGCCACCCAGGTGCCCCTCTGCCTTTTAAAAGAGAGTCCTTTGTCTCTTCTCTTTGATGTATGGGGTTTTTTTACATAATAGGGATATTAATTTTTTTATGCCAGTTATCTATATTGCAGACATTTTATGTCATTTGGCTTTATATCATATAATGGGGCACTATTACTTATAGAAGTTAATAAAATTTGTCAATCTGTAATTTATCCGGTGTTTATGTTTTTGTATGGTTTTACTTAGTGAATACCAGCAAGAATGAAAAAAAGAAAGATAATTTCAGGACTTACCACTGGTCTTCAAAACTTTATGTGATCTTGAGGAAGGTTCTAGGAGAAAAAATAAGGCCGGCATCATTTGCAAAACCAAATCAGGGTTTTTTTCCTTTATAAATGAATTATTTGAGCTCTAGAAAAAAATTTTTTTTATCAAATATACCGAAATCCCCATCACTTAGAGACACTTAACAGCAAGACATTCACTCTGACAAAGCTGTAGGATAAAATTTAAGCTGCGCAATCAGGGGTCACATAACAGAAAACTACCCTACCAACAACTAGTAGAGAAATTTCCTTAGCTTTAACTACCACCCGTAAGGTGACAGTGTTCAATTTTATATCCTTAAGCCACTCCTCTCCCAAGCCTCTAATGTTAAGTGTCAAACTGACGATTCCCCAATGTGCCCACAGACCGAGCAACCCAACATGCCTCAAAGTCACCAGTCTCCCCCCATAACTGTCCTTTAATCAAGTTCTTATCCTGGTTGTCACTGACATTACCTGCCCAAGTTAGCTGTCAGGACATCATTCTAAATTTCTCCTGTTTTCATCCATCACAGTCCTGTGGGATCCTAATAACGCCTCCCCCCACACTACTGTCTCAATCCAGGCCATTATCATCTCTCCCCCAGACTAGATGGACAGCCTACTTCAGTTTCCACATCAAGGCAGAATTCTCTTTTTTATGAAAGGCAAACATTTTGGGGCGCCTGGGTGGCTCAGTCTTTAAGCGTCTGCCTTCGGCTCAGGTCATGAGCCCAGGGTCCTGGGATCGAGCCCCGCATCGGGCTCTCTGCTCAGCGGGAAGCCTGCTTCTCCCTCTCCCACTCCCCCTGCTTGTGTTCCCTCTCTCGCTGTCTCTCTCTCTCTGTCAAATAAATAAATAAAATCTTAAAAAAAAGAAAAAGGCAAACATTTCATTGCTGAAGATCCGTCTTGTAGCTTGCAGGATCAAGCTCATACCTTCCGCAACTCCAGCCACTTTTCTTCTGGTTTACCTTGCACATCTCCACCTCCCCCCACCTCCATCCCACGTTCCAGCCAGGCTGAACAACTGACAATAGAGGCCTGAGCTAAGGTATGCCGGCTCAAGTCTCAGGGCCTTTGCATGTGCTAGTCCTGCCCCATCTGCCTCCTCAGCCCCCAGACTCCATCCCAGGTCTTCTGCTCTGGGAAGCCTTCTCTCTCCTTCCTAGACAGTTAGCCCCTCTCTCCCCGCTTTGTCTTTCCACTCTTCCTCCCACTCAGCCTCTACCACAGTCCATCACGGACTGGTACGTATTCACCCGTTAGACTCTCCCACTGGACTATAACCTCCTAGGAAGCAGGAATCATATGTATTATTTATTCTTGCATTCTGGGTCCTTAGTACAGTGCAGGGGGTTAGGTAGGTACTCAATAAATACTGATTCAAATTAAAAAAAAAAGATATGAGGGCTAAGAGAATACTACATGGAGTTTGGTTCAGCAAACACGTGTTAAAGGTTTAGGCTTGAATAATCTTTTGTATGTGTCATTTATAGGATACAATTTTTCCCCAGTGTTAGTCAACAGGCTTTAAGTACCTGCATGCTAGTGGTAAGATGCATCAACATGGATGGGACTGGAGGAGATGATGCTCAGTGAAATAAGTCAGGCAGAGAAAGTCAATTATCATATGGTTTCACTTATTTGTGGAACAGAAGGAACAGCATGGAGGACATTAGGAGAAGGAAGGGAAAAATGAAGGGGTCAACTCGGAGAGGGAGACGAATCATGAGAGACTATGGACTCCGAGCAACAAACTGGGGGTTCTAGAGGGGAGAGGGGTGGGGGGATGTGTTAGCCCGGTGATGGGAATTAAGGAGGGCACGCACTGCCTGGAGCCCTGGGTGTTATATGCAAACAATGAAGCGTGGATCACTACATCAAAAACTAGTGATGTATTGTATGTGACGAACATAACATAATAAGATTAAGTTAAAAAAATAAAAAAAATAAATTTACACACAAAAAAAGATGCTATGCAAAGCAAAATTAGTTGATTGGTATGTTTTATATCCCCTGGAAAATAGAGTTATGTAGAAAGTTTAGAACGAAAGTTTTTGTTTAGAGCAAAAGCCTGACAGACTGAAAGGATCTTTCATTACTTATCCCCCCAGATTATTAAATTTTGATCACAACATCCTATTTACCAGATTTTCTTCTCAGCCGATATGGAGCAGAACCGTCTTTCGAACCACACAATGCTTTTGTTTCTCCCTCAGGACTGTAACAGAACCCAGGATAATCTGAAAAGATAACCACACGCATCAATAAGAAGGAGGTGTTCAGTGACTTCTGAGATCGGTACAACTTGTTTTGGGTATCTATGGATTTACTCATTTTCATCAGACAGGGTATAATCTCTCCTTTCCATAACTGGTGTTGAATATGTATCACGGGACTTTTTGTTTACATTGGGACTTCCAGGAGTCTGTCAGCAAGGTAAGCTGCGTTTCTTGTACACGTGTGTGCTCTCAGGTTCTCTGTTACACACACACACACACACACACACACGCTCTCCTTTTTTGCTCACTAGCAGAAAGAGCCATAACCATTGTCTTTACCCTTTGTAGGAAGTTAGTTAAGATGTGTAAGGTGTGATTAAACTCCTACTGCCACTCAGGATCATCTGCAACTTGATGACCCACAGAGGTCAGAAAATTCTATTACAATAAACATCACTGCTGAACTTGCCAACAAGGCCTCTGACAGGCTGTGGTGATGGGCCACAACAGGGGCTCTGTCAGGGAGGGCGAAGCCATCTTGAGAATTCAACTGAAGTACAATATTTGTGAGGCGTCTATGCCTGGCTTGGTGGTGGAGGATATCAAGCTATTCCTGCCCTATGGAAGCTGTCCTCTAGGGCCGTGACTCTTAGTATTTTTCTAGACATTGTTCTTTTGAATATTTGATAGGTGCTTTAGGTTCTCTTACCAGAAAAGGGATTTTCATTTATTTTTTAAAAGATTTTATTTACTTGAGATAGAGAGAGCGAGCGAGTGAGAGAGAGAGAGATAGAGAGCAATGAGTGGGGGGGAGGGGCAGAGGGAGAGGAAGAACCAGGCTCCCCACTGAGCAAGGGGCCCAATGTGGGGCTTGATCCCAGGGCCCTGGGATCATGACCTGAGCTGAAGGCAGGCACTTAACCAACTGAGCCACCCAGGCGCCCCCAGGATTTTCATTTAATTTCGCAGTTTATGCTAAGGGGTACACGGACATCATATTAAGAAAATTGGGTCTAGGGGCACCTGGTTGTCTCGGTTAAGCATCAGACTCTTGATCTCAGCTCAGGTCTTGATCTCAGAGTTGTGAGTTCAAGCCCCTCGCTGGCCTCCACGTAGGGCATGAAGCCTACCTTTAAAAAAAAAAAAAAAGGAAAGAAAGAAAATTGGGTCCAATCCTAAAGTACTCTAGCACTTTCACTGATATCTGAAGCCTGAGGGTAAACAATTTTAGGACATGGCTGTAATAGGGTTAAGGCTCTTTAAGGGTGTCCAAAGCTGGAGAGAGTTCTGAGGACTGTAAAGACCACACATGTTTGTCCAATGTCAGTGGCAAAGTTACATAAATGAAGTCATTTGGCCCAATGGACTGGCCTACTCTGCTCATACCCAGCCAAGTCCAGAGTCAAGGCAGGGCAAATGGGGGGGATTTTCCCAGGCGGGGTTGCTCTGGCCTAGTCTTGGGCCTGGAAGAAAGGCACGTGGCACCAGTTAGTGGCTCGAAATCATTCTGTGCACTCACAGAACCTTACTGGTGTCCACGGACTCGCCCAGAGGCTGGGAACGAGGACTTGGTTCTGTTGAATGAAGTCGGTCACAGAAATAGACTTCTTCAGACCCTCATCTTCCTCCACCTTTCCTCCTCAACCTAACATGCTCACCCATGACCTTGCCTTCTCTTTATAGAGTGTTATTATCCAAAAAAAAAAAAAAAAAAAAATCTTAAAGAGCTTTCCACTGAATAAAATGGGGGGACTTTCAAGAAGACAGGGCAGCAGGCCCCAGCCCAGCCCTCTGGTAGGGGTCACTCTCAGGAGCTGTGGGGCATGACATGGGGGGTCTCAGTCACGTGGTGGGAGTGCTCGTCTTTCTACCCCACGAATGCTTCCTGTTTCCCCTGCAGAGCTGAGCACCAGCGGTGTGGAGGGGACGTGAATCAGTGTTCCCACCTGGGGCAAGATGCCTCAAAAGTAAGTTCTTTCACATGCTGTAGGTAAAAGTTTTTGTCAGACCCGGTTGTAAATCTTTAAAGCCACTGATTCTTTTTTTCCTGTTTCATCTGGGGGAGAATAAGGGTGTGATAAATGCCGTTGAACGAGGTTTTATTTTGTAGGACAGACCTCACCTCTGTTTATTTTCTGCCCGTTTTAGAAGCCTTGAACTACCATCACACTTGTGGGGCCGCTGTAATTTTGGAATTTGTGCCGCATCAGGGAAAGCATGAACTATCTTGTTGGCACGATTCTTGCAGGAAATCAACATAGATTTCCCTCCGATGGGGTGCGGTGGGAAGTGTATGTGAAACCTTAATTTCTGGTGGTGGTAGAAAGGAGGGTAAGAATGGACCCTGGCAGCAGATCTTACATTCTTAGCTGATGCAGAGATCTAGACATGTGGCCAGCCATCAGGGGACTCAGATAAACCAGGCGAAATCAATGGACAAATAAGCCAATGTGTTAGGAAGAGATTATACCGTCTGCCGCTCTGTTTGTTAACACAGTGAATAGAGCTCCTTTCTTACAATTGACATTTTTGTAAACTTTAAGCTAGACAATATGACAGATGCAAGGAGACAAGAAAATTTCAAACTGTATTAAGAGAACCAAACTTACGAATGGCATCCATTTCAAGTATTGCTTGCTTGGCCTGAAAGAAAGAAAAGTATGGCTTTAATTGCAATTACTTTTTGTTTCTTCTTTAAGCTACCAGTCGTAATACAGAAGACCTGTATTACCTACACTATGCCACCTGAACAGGGATTTATGGAAAAGCTTTAAACAACTCATTATTTCTTTGAGGCATGAACACAAGGGCTTCAAGCAGACAAGCGCCCTCCTGTGGGCAGTAGATGCTACACAACGGATGCTCCAGAGCTAAGCTTGCAGCCCCCACGTGGAAGGAAGCCACAGATGGCAAGACAGGACCTACCTTCCAGGGTTGCTACTACTAGGCCCACATGACAGGCCCTCAATCCAACGAAGTTACCACCCGCCCGCCAAGGGATTGGGCCGGATAATCCTCAGCTCTGGCTTTCTTCTCCCTTCAACCCCAACCGTCGCAGCTTTAATGCTTTGAGGCTTCTTTTTATTGTTATTGCTGCCAATGGTATTAATGTTTAGGGAAATATAAAAAGATAGTTAATTACCCTAACATGAATCATGTTGCTTGAGGATTCAAAAAGGGAAAAAAAATTACTTTAGGTAGCCTGTCTTGCTCCCCCCGTGTCATTTTCATAGTTCAAGAGTCGTGTAACTTAACCTCCAAACACTGGGCTAAAAATTACCTTAAAAATAATTTAATTGTAATCAAAAACTAATGATGTAATGTATGTGATTAACATAACAATAAAAAATTTTAAAGAAAAATTTTTAGTAAATTTTTTTAGCAATTTACTTTAGTAAAAATTTTTAGCAGTAAAAATATTCAGGCTAAATGGTAATATTTAGTTACACACACACAAAGGAGGGAGGTTAAAAAAAAAAGGCCTTGATGCAACCATATAAGTTTGAGAAAACAAATGGTTATATTTTTATGACACTGATATTTTTATCATCTAGTCAGTTTGGGATTACTAGTTGGAATTAATTTCAAACACAGATGTGAGCTCAATTTCTTTGAAGTGCATTTCCAGAACCAGGTGAATATATAAAATGCAGAAGGCTCTACTTTTATCTTTGTTCTCAATCTAGAGGAGACTGAGTGTATATCTCATGTATATGGATGAACAAAATGGCTATTTCCAAGAAGTTTCCTGGTATCTATAAACTTAGACTTTAAGAATTCAGTATTTTTTCCCCCCATCTTGACATTGAATTTCAGAAGAGTACTATTCCCATATTTTCCTCTAGGAGTCAGCCAGGGACCATCACTGAACTGAACGACCGGAAGGAGGTTGGGAGTCACACAAATGAACTTCCAACAGCTTGTGCAAGTTAACTATGTTAGAATGGTGAGGTGATTTTTGAGGTTTACAAAAATTCCCCGTTACGCATTTCTTTTATTTACAGATTTTGAAATAAACAGATTTTGAAAGCTTTGGAGAAAAAGATTTAAGAAAAAGTCTTGAAGAAAGAAGTGAAAAGTTCAACTTAATAATAAACCTGCTTAAATAAAATGGAAAATTATTACTACATTATAGTGGATCAAGTGTCTTAAATAAGTGTTTTCCACTGGGAGCAATGTGGCTAAGGCTTGCTCCCTGGACCCAGACAGACCTGGGTCTGACTCAGGCTCAGTCATGTACAAGCTGTATAAACTTGGGCAGAGCACTTAATGTCACTGAGCTTCTGCTTTTACTTCTCTAGAATGGGGAGAATAAGGCCCTCCTCAGAAGGTGTTTTGCTGAGGGCGAAATACAAAGTAGGTGTGTGTGCTCAAGAAGCTGTAGCTGAAACAATAATGTTTAGTTCTAAAAGGGTCAGGAATTTGGGTAAAAAAGTGCAATTCTATTGTGACTATATGAACCATTTTAACGCATAAAGGGAAAATGGCCTGGAATACAAACGTCTTGTGGGGGAGAAAGAAGACAGGTATGCAAGCTGGTCTGGTTTTGTAATGGCCTTTCAGAATCCTGTGGCAGCTTTGATTTTCCCAGGAGACAGGTAAATCGTAGGTGGGGCATATCAAAGACACTTTGTCATTGCTCAGGGCATTCCAAGGCACAGGGCCAGCAACTGAATAACTAACCATGAAGAAAACACAATCACTTCTTTGCATGAGCTCCTTTACATCTCACAACACCCTGATGAAATGAGACTCATGCTTAACTCAAAGCACACACCTATGCACATTCATTTCCTGGGCACCAAATCAGTGCTGACAATGCCTGAGAACAAGCTTCAAATGCTTCTCAAAATACACAGAGCAAAATAGATGTTCCTTTCTCAGGAATGTCCCTGTTCCTTATCTGCCTCCCTGCCCCCCGCCCCCCGGCCCACCGCCCCAGTTCTATTCTCATGACCACCAACCCACCTTCTGCTCCATTCCCCCCAGCCCAGCAAGGACCTTTTCACCAACCACATGGACATCCATTCTCCACCCTCACCTTAGCGCCTAGCCACTTTATCTCTGGTAAGCTTTCCCTCAGCTCCAGAACAGCAACACACAATCAGAGCGGCCCCCAGGACCTTAGCAGCGCCCAGAACTCTAAAAGTTCCCTTTTCAACTACAGACATCTGTATTTCCATCTCTCCACCTTTAACCCCTTCTAAGCCAGTTCTTGGACTCCACAGGCCCCCGGTCCTTCAAGCCGTGCCTATTCTCTCTGTTGGCTTCCCTCTCCACTCAGCCTGGAAAGCATGCTCATTCACTGTGCTGATTGGCACCCACCTTCCCCTGTGCTGCTAATCTTCCCCTTTAGTGGCTCTGCTGAGCCTCACCTTGGGGAGCCCCCCTGCGCTGTGGTTCCTCAACACTAGCTTCCAGATTGCTGAGCGGACTTCCAAATGACCTCATCACACTGATCCTTGGTGACCCACGTCCCTCAGGCCTTGGGTGCACAAATTATTGTAGTCATCCCTACAGACTGGTCCATTTCCTTTAGCAAGTGTTCCGAGCCTTGCCACTTTCCCTCAGGTGCCCAAACCCACCTGGGCTCCTCGCACCAGACACACGACAACATCACCAACTCCAGTGAAATCAAACTCCGTGTGTTCACTCGAGTCCGCCGCAAAGGTTCTCTGTCCTGTCTCAGCTTTCTTCTCTCCCAGCTCTGGGAAGGAGGTTTCAACCTTCCCAGACCTCCCTTTCACCCAGCGCTCCTGATCCCACCCTCCCAGCTCCCCAAGGTGGATTCCGAAGAGCACCCCTCTGCTTATCACTACGCTCCCCTTCCCCTGCCCGCCGCCCACTGTCACGTCCATGGTGTCCTTCACCTACACCAAGCGTCATGCTCTGATCTCGCCTCTCCTCAAACCACCACCTTGCATCTTTTCTGCACTCTGTTAAAGAAGTCTGCACTCAGTCTGCTGCTTCTCATTTCGGCTTTTCTCTCCAAAGCCCTGCAAGCTCTCCCTGGTCTCTTAGTTGCCAAACCGAGTATCTACGTTTCTGTTTGAATCTGTTGTGACGTCCGCAGCATTTGAGACTCTTGTCGCCCTCTTCCTCTTTGAGATCCTTTCTTTCCATTGTCACCATATCTTTCCCCTTCGCTTTTCTTACTGCCTCCCTGGTCACTCTCCCTTTGGTGGTCCTCTAAGTCCCCACTGGCTCGCAGATCACCGAGATGGTGCCATTCCCAGGGGTTCTTCCCTTTACACACTTTTACGGGCCATCCCATCAAAGCTCAGGGCTCAGTGACTGTGTCAAGAGAGCCTCCAGACCCGCAGCTTCCAAGACCTGAATTTCCACCTGGGCTGACTGGCCCCTGCACAGGCAGCAGCGAGAGCTCTTCCTCGCTCCCATCCAACCGGTTCCTCCCCTTGGCAGCTTATCTCAGAACTCAACACCGTCTTCCGGGCCCAACCCCTGACTCATCCTTGCCTCCTATTTCTTTCTCTCCTCCTGCACCTAGTGGGCAACATATTGTTCCCTCCGCCTCTGTGAAAGCTTTTCCATCTGCTCCCCCTCTGTTGCTGGGGCCCCCCGGAAGTGCCCCTCACCTCTTTTCTAGACTACTATGGTGGCTTGCTAATTCTTCTCCCTCCAGTGTCACTCCTTCAACTCACTTATCACCCTGTCCCTAAGGGTCCCCCTCTCAGAACATAGGGAAGACCATGCCATCCCCTTTCTCCAAAGCCTTTGGTAGTTTCCTACCCCCAATACCACCAGACTCCTTGGTGTGTGCCTTCAAAGACCTTCGTAGCCCAGCGGGCTGCCTTCCACTTCTCCAGCCTCACCACCTACTCCATCTCTTGAGGACTCAGCCTTTCCACCTAGGCACCGTCTGCGTGCTGTGAACACGGTGCACCCATTCACATTTGTTTTTGTTTATGCTGTTCCCTCAGCCTGGTCTTCTTCTTCCTCTACCTAATAAAAATATTCTTCATCCTTCCAGACTGAGGTAAAAGGCATTTCCTTCCTTCCCCCAGTCAACTGTAATTGAACACTTCATCCTTCCACAACACTTGGCTTATACCTCTATTAATGCATCCTCTTTAGCAAACAGTTTGTTGTTTACATGGCTAGCTCCCTCATCGACAAATTCCTTCACAGCTGAGTCTGTATCTTTTTTCCCCTAGCATTCCCACAGAACCTAAGCTAGCTCTGTTCACAATAGGTGCTTTAGTGTAGCTTTGAACACTTCTCACAACTGTATTCTACTAGTTCTCTAGAAATTTTCTTAAAGTCTTTTCCTAATTTTTTCTTTGCTCAAGCCCAGAAAGAAAGTATAACAACAATTATAAAAAACAAACAAACAAAAAACCTTTGGAGGTGCCTGGGTGGCTTAGTCGGGTAAGTGTCTGGCTCTTGGTTTTGGCTCAGGTCATGATCTCAGGGTCCTGGGATCAAGCCCTGCATTGGACTCCACCCTCAGTGGGGAGTCTGCTTGAGGATTCTCTCCCTCTCCCTCTGCACCCACCACTTGTGCTCTAAAATAAATCAATAAATCTTAAAAACCAAAACCAAAAAACAACCTTCGACAATCTCCCTACATGTGAATCTTCCTTGAATTCCTTCACATTTTACTGTTTGTTGACCTCATCGTCTTACCTTAGCCGGGATCTTGGCCGCGTGGTTCTCCAGGATCAGTCTCTTCAGGTGCAGAACCCAGAGGCGTTTGTCCTGCTGGGATTTAGCCTACCGGAAGGCAATGTGGACAGTCAGACGACTCACGCCTCCCCCACTCACAAGATTCAGACCCTCCGATAACCCTCCGACAAGGTGGGAAATACACTGCGTGGCCAGAAGGCTCTGGCCAGAGGCTCTGGAAATACACCGTGGCCGGCACGTGGCGCTCCTCATTTCCAAGATCGAGCCCCGCAGGGGTGTGTGTGTGTGGGGGGGGGGGGCGGGGGGGGGGGGGGGGGGGGCTGATGTTACCTGAACTGTGTGCTGCAGCTTCGGGTTCTTGTAGTGGAAGACGCTGAAGCTGAGCGGCTCCTTGGGTATCACTTCCACAAGCATGAGGTTGCCACACTGAGCATGAGAGCAGAGGGAGGGTGAGGCACGCTTGGAAGAGAACAGAACGAAGCCCTGGCCCATGACCAACACTGAGACCTACCAGGATGTGGGCTTTGTATGTAAACGTGTCATCTCTCTTCTTTGTGATGAGCAGCAGCTTGTCAAAGAGGAAGAGCGTCCGCTCATTCTTGGCGCGCTGGATGCGAAAGGTGCCTTCCAGCACCAGTTCCCCGTAGCTGGTCAGGTCTGGCCCCTTCCAGTTAGTGAGCAGACTCTGGATCTCCTGAAAAAGTGACCATTCTGTGTGACTACACAGGAGGTGGGGAGACGTGGCAATGAGAACAAGGTGGCCCATTTGCTGAGTCTCAAGAACAGTGTCTAACTATCTCTGACTGGGTCTAATGGCTCTGTTTGGTGTCCAGTGGTGTCTAATGATCCATGCCCTGAATCCACAGGTGCGGGTGCCGTCACTTAAGGGCTAACAGAAATGAATCAAGTTGTTAGTTGATGAGTTGCCAATTCCTTATTTCCATTCCTTGATAATCCGTCTTCTACGGCTGGAGACAGCAGTTATGTCTCTCAAAAGCAGGGGGAAGGGGCCACAGGTATGTGACCTTCTCCGATAGGCATCTTTCCCTTGACATTCTCACCCATATTCTCTGCTAAAAAGCCTGCAGAGTGATTGACATGCAAACCTTCTTCCAGAAACTGAAATCCATACTACATATAAGTAACTCAAAACTAAGGCCCGTGAGAAGTCACGGAAGATACGTCTTAGAAATTTCCTGATATTAATCCCATTTATTTGGGGAAAGGAAATGAAGTTCATCACCACTATGTTTTTAATGGCACTTGATAAACATAAATTGAGAACATGACTTTGAAGTTATCTTTGGGATTTGCTGTCCATCCATATCAACGTTTTTTGAGGAAGTTGATTTTTTACTGTTTTGAAAAACGAAAATATTCACAAACAGCATTTAATTGACAACGCCAAATTTCACTGGTTGAAAGTGGAAGTGGATAGAAATGGAGACAAAAGTCTGAGCCACAGCCTGATTTAGCAGTGTCTTCAGAATGCCAAACGGATTCATAAGGCATGAAAAACCAGTCATTTAGCCATTTCTGAATATGCAATGGACATTATGTCCACAGAACACGTGGCTGATGACACATTAAACCTTTTCTGGACATGGCCTGAAAGATGAGAATGTCCCCTTCCCTCCATTTTTGAGCATCAATTGCATCACACCACATTCTGGCTGCCTATAGATGAATCCTAGAGTTTTGTTTGAATTTGTGAGCTGAATAATGTGTCTTTTTTCTTGAGTTGGGCATAGGCGCTCTGCACAGTGTGGAGTCACTCTGGGCTTTCATGTCTCACTCCAGGGACACGCAGGAGCCCGTGACCAGCCTCTAGGCCCGCATGACCTTTTGTTTTTATTTTTTTAATTTTTAAAAAAATATTATATTTATTTATTTGAGAGGGAGAGAGCAGAAGCCAGGGAGCCGGAGCAGAGAGGGAGAGAGAGAAGCAGACTCTCTGCTCAGCAGGGAGCCCCACACAGGGCTAGGTCCCAGAACCCCGAGATCATGACCAGAGTTGAAGGCACTTAACTGACTGAGCCACCCAGCACCCCGACTTTTTTTTAATTTTTATTTATTTTTATGTATGTTTGTATGTATTTTAAGATTTTATTTATTTATTTGACAGAGAGAGGAAGAGAGCACACAGCAGAGGGAGAGGGAGAAGCAGACTCCCCATTGAGCAGGGAGCCCGATGTGGGAACTTGATCCTAGGACCCTGGGATCATGACCTGAGCCAAAGGCAGATGCTTAACCGACTGAGCCATCCAGGCACCTGACCTTTTGTTTTTAAATAGTGCCCGGGACATGATCATTGGCTTAGCATTCATCAAATGTCTCCAAGGATTTCAGATCCAAAACATTGGTGCTGGAAGGAGCCTTAGCAAAGCTCTTGTCTGTCTTATTTTAGAAATGAGGACTCTAACATGCAATGGTGAGCTTCGTCCCAAGTGGAACTGCAAAGAACCTGCTTCCAGACTTAGCTCTCCTTTCTCTGAGTCCCTGCCCCATACCACACACGTACCAACCCACAATTCTGCATTCACTAGGGAGACAGGAAGTGAGGCTCAAAAACCTTTTCAACAGCTTAGAGAAAGTTGCTTCCAACAAGAATTTATTTGTAATTAACCTAAGATAAGGGCGTGGGAGACTCCAATTTATAACTTGGGTAATTGAAGGGGCTATGAGCAAACTCTTAGTTTAAAAGTTATAATGTAACTTCTCTTAAAATATCACCTTAAACAGTGATCAGTATTAGCCATGTCCTGATCTTTCTTCAAGGAGACCTACAATGAAGATCATGGATGAAATGCAACACTTGAGCAGCCTTAGTGTCTGATTTGGAAAATGGTAGGGGTACCTGGGTGGCTCAGTCGGTGAAGCGTCTGCCTTTGGCTCAGGTCATGATCCCAGGGTCCTGGGATCGAGTCCTGCATCTGGCTCCCTGCTCAGTGGGGGGCCTGCTTCTCCCTCTGCCTCTGCCCCTCCCCCTGCTCATGCTCTCTCAAAGAAATAAAATCTTAAAAAAAACCCCAAAGAACACGGTCATAGGTCAGTGCCTCCGCAGCTCCGCCAGGTACCAGCAGCTCAAGGGCTTACCTGCAGCCGGACTGCGTGCTCATGCTTCCTCTTCATGTCGTTGATGTGCCAAGCCACTCTCTGCATCGTGTCAATAGCATCGAGCACCACATCATAGCCCTCTGTGTCCTTGTCAAGGTGATTTTCTATTTCCTTTAAAAAAAAAAAAAAAGAGAGAACTAGCTATTTTCACTTTTTTTTTTTCCACACAGGGCATCTCTATGATGAGTTCCTTGTATTTTACTTTTGCCTATTTATTTATTTTTAAAGATTTTATTTATTTATTTGAGAGAGAGAGAATGAGAGATAGAGAGCACGAGAGGGAAGACGGTCAGAGGGAGAAGCAGACTCCCCGCTGAGCAGGGAGCCCGATGCGGGACTCGATCCCGGGACTCCAGGATCATGACCTGAGCCGAAGGCAGTTGCTTAGCCAACTGAGCCACCCAGGCGCCCTACTTTTGCCTATTTATTTACACACCACCATCATGCCTTAAGAGTCTGAGATGACTTACCAGAGATACCTGCAAGAAAATGGTAAGACAGGAATGAAAATGGGGGGCGGGGGAGGAAAAATAGAAGTGGGTTAGAATTTCATGACGAGGAGGATAAAAGAAAACACTGTACAGTCCATTAAGTCTCATAGAGATGCTCCAGTTTTAACAGATACAGGAGTTGCTATTACAGTTGGGGACTAGCAAGTTTCCTGGTGGCCAATGTAGTAGAGTTCTCACCCCTACAGGAGAGAAGACGTACTTTCCTTTTTCTCCCAGAGGAAATAAAGGTGTCACACAGGACTGCGTAACAGACTAAACCACTGGACATTATCTTTAAAAGTACTTCTATAGCAAGTGTCTTTTCATGTAGTCAAGGCTTTTTTTTTTTTTTTTTAAAGATTTTATTTATTTATTCATGACAGACAGAGACAGAGAGAGAGAGAGAGGCAGAGGGAGAAGCAGGCTCCCAAGGAGCAGGGAGCCCGATGCAGGACCCGATCCCAGGACCCCGGGATCATGACCTGAGCCGAAGGCAGACGCTTAACCATCTGAGCCACCCAGGCGCCCGAGTCAAGGCTTTAAAGCCCCAAAGAGAGTTCACAAAAGACAAGTCTTCAGAGTGTCGAGGATGATCTCATGGTTCAAGTATTCTCTGGGGATCAGCACTCAGCTTAGCACTGGAGTTCCACAATCCTAGGGCCACGAAAGGGACATGATCTCTGCTCTAATTCTTTCCAGCACATAAGACACAAGTCCCTAGACCCCTCAAGAGCCTCTTATGGAGAGGGACTGTTGTATCACTTATTTAATTCTTTATCTACTCAATAGTAACACCAGAGAGCTGGGTGGTCAATAAATGCTTATTAAGTTGAAGCTCTATCTTCTTAAAACAATAACAGTAACCTACATAAATTATGTAAAACAGTAAGAAGATATTATAGTCAATGAGATCATTTCTGGGACATTGATGATGTCATTGAGCCAAAGGATGGAGGTTGAATCTTACGGTATAACTTATGAAGGTTAGTTCCATTATTTTATAATCCTACTTCATAAATCTCTGTTTACTTTTACTAAGTACTCAAGTTTTCCATCTAAGCTTGAAACTGGGAAGGAATTTGCATTTTCTTTCCACGTTCAGACTCAGCTGTTAGAAAGGTACTATGAAACTATACCGCTAAAATAACAGCTCCCAGGTAAGCTCCAGATCAACAGCAGATTAAAAAAAATAATAATAATTTCTTCTTTTGGTCTGAGAGGCAATCCTGTTCAACAACAAACGGACTCGGGAGTACAGAGTGTATTCTTGTGCGGATCTTCATGGTTGGCTACACAACTTTGAAGTGATGTAAATGACACAGAAGGAACACTCTAAATCACCCATAAAAGCAAAAATACTTCAAAGGCAACCAGAAGTTAGTTTTTGATTAATCTAACCACTGTTCTTCATTACCAGCTGTTATGGATGGAATGTTTGTGTCCCCCCCAGAAGCCACATGTTGAAATCCTAACCCCCACTGTGCTGGTCTCAGGATGTGGGGCCTTTGGGAGGTGATTAGGTCATGAGGGTGGAGCCCTCACGGGTGGGATTAGCGCTCTTATAAAAGGGATCCCGGGGAGCTCTCTTGCCTCTTTCCACTATAGAATGAAACAAGAATGCAACCCTGGACAGCGACATCATCAGAACCTGACCAGACTTGCACCTTGATCTTGGCCTTCCAACCGCTAGAACTGTGAGAAATAAATGTTTGCTGTTGAAGCCACCCAGGCTATGGTATTTTCTTATAGCAGCCTAAACTAAGACACCAGTTCCTAATTTAGAGGGTAAGAGCTATTTTTCCCTATTAATTACTTTTTTGTAAGGATCTTGACTTACTATGTTTCACATGCTTAAGTAACTGCCATCTTAGACTTTGCTTTTGATCGATGGCCCCCTAACTATCTAGAAGGCTATATTTAGAGATTATTGAGAAATACTAGTCTTAAATGCCATATTAGCAGAGTCCAGCAGAGATCTATCCTGGGACAGGCATTATCTCAGCATTATTTGGACACTGGTTTAGCAAATTAATCCCACTAATCTAAGAGGTCATGAATATTAGTTTAACAATTAAAGTAATATTCCTGATGTGGCTTCACAGGACACAGGATTCTCCAAACATGAGCCACCCAGGCAAACAAAGTTGAGAAATTTCTAGCAAAGTTGGACCATAAGCGTTCTTAAAATTGTACATGTGTGTGAACTGAGCAAAACTGGAATGATTATCTAAGTTGGGAACCTGGAATCATTTAAAAAGAGATATATATAAATTGCAGGTATGGTGATAGAGATAAGAGCTCTGGATTCAAATTTCAAGATTTTAATGTAGTATGAAAATAATTAAACAAAAACAATAGTTCACTTTTATGGACTGCCCGTGAGCTACAGTGAACATGGACAATTTACAGGATTTGAACCCAGAGCCTGGCCCCTAACCACCACACTAGGTCTCCCTTGTGTTACAAGGGCAATCCAATCGTACTGACCCAATGGAAATGACTTGCAACAAAACTTTTCCCCGATTTTATCAACTTCCTTAGAGGGAAGACATGAGAATGTGAGAGCTCTGTCTACCCTTGTTTATAAAGCCTCCTTGCATTGTATACAAATAATGGGAAATGCAACAAATACAATGAAGTGATGCTAAGCCCCACTCAAAGATCATTCATCACACCACTCATTGGTCTTCTCCTTTTCCGGCACCTTCTCTTTGCTCATACAAAAGCCAATCTATGACAGATAGCTCTCCTGCCCAACTGCCTACTGAATCTAGGCTTGTGGAGATAAGACACACAAAAATCTGTTTTTCATTACGGTGATAGCTCTCTGTCTGAAACCATTCACTGCCCAGAGTGAGGTATTCCTAAGCCCTATCAGAATCAGAGCTAAAATGAATCTTTTCACTTGGCTGGTGTCAATGGGGCTGTAGGCCCAGAATATAAATATCTCTAATTCCTCAAAGCAGATTAGTCCGTTGTAAAGTATGAGTGTGGAAAACGTTTCCATATGTCCACAGCCTGTTCTGATATTTTTTCCGCGAAGCTTAATGGAGGATAAATGCACAAAATCACCATCCCCTGGAAAGTATTCAAGGGCAGGCAGAAACTTACATGCAAAAGGAGATGATATTTGAGAATCCGCTGAACTGGTTTCAAGAGATAGGACCCCAGAGGCAGAGAGTGTTTCAGAGTTTCCTGACGTTCCCTGAAGAATTTGGCCAGCATCTTGTTCCGCATGCACTCTGTTAACACAGCCACTGACCTGCAGGAAGGACACGTTTTTATCTCAGTTGTAATAGTGAGATGGGTATGTAAGTTTTAAATGTCCTAAAACAGGTGGGGCAGCAACAGAGCTATAGCTAGACTAAAATGCCTCCGGACAAGTTAGAAAAAGGTGTCTCTTTGGGTGGATGCATTAGAAAAAGGCACAAGAAAAAGCTGGCTGCACATGGACAGATGGTTTCTAAGCAGCAAGCTCCTCCCTTCTAGGGATGAAGTCCCCGGCCAGGACACATGCTTGGCAAAAGGGGGATCTGAGTCAGATGTTAGCCCCCAGTTGCATCCCATATGGGTATCTGTGTGGTGCACGAAACACACATCTGTATTCAGTCTCCACAGGCCAGACTGCAAGGCCGGGGCACCTCTATATTAGGAAAAAAGGAGCTCCTTCTTCAGTAGAGCCAGCCCCGTGCCGGACATTTGTCACCCCTTCTGCCGGCTGCCTTTGTAGAATGCACAAACTGCATGATACCCCATGCAGATCTTTGGAGACTGTGGCCCACAAGTTAAATTCCCTTTGAGAATCTCTGAACAGATCACTCTAAAGACAGTTTCTGAAACAGCTAGAGAACTTCACTTCGTCGGGAGTGTGCCTCAGTGGACTTGGAAAGCGGGTCAGAATTCCTTCTGCATCCCAGCTTCCCCAAAGGTAGTAAGTATAGCCCCCTAACACCCCAGGGGAATAGTTGAACCAGTGTTCATATCTTATACATGAAAGCCAGTGGGCTTGTGAAGTCACACACACACGTAAATTAAAATCGTACGGTCTCATAACTTAGAAGAAAGCAGGTGGAAGTGATTTCAGCCCCTCTCCCCAAGGCAGTAATATGTTTTCAGGATTAATTTAGAAAATTAGGGCCAAATTAGACTCCTTGGAAGGAAGTGAAGTGGAGGTCTCTTAATGAACCTATTAGAATCACTTTTGTGCCCATCTGCTTTGAGAATTATCTGTCCAAACGGATTTATTCCCCCCAGAAGTTGAGATTTCAAAACTACTCCTTATCATGTAGCCGAGGGTCTTTTTAAAGGTTCTTCCAGGGCCAGAATCGGCTGCCCAGTTGCCCTTTGGCCATCTGAAGGCTTCAGCTTGTGCCCACGGACAGGACACCTGCAACAAATTGGGAGCACACTGAACTCCCGGTTCAGGGCCCAGGGAGACATCTGAGGACAATGACCTGACAGGGCCTGGGCCCCTCCTTCGGGAAAGGAGGGAGGGCTTGTGTCTCTTCCCAGCGAAACTGCTGGGGCGTGACTGGTATGAAGAAGGTGGACATCTGTCAAGGTGTGCCGGCGACATTTAATATCTCTAGCCTGGATCCGAAGGGAGAAGAAATGTTGTCAGATGGGCTGAAACACCTGGCACTCTTGGCTTGTTAAGATAGGGAAAAGGAGACCAGGGCTTCAGAAAGCAAACTGGATTGGAGACAAGGAGCCAAGAGGAAATATTTTTCTATGAATATGAAAACCACACAATTGGGCAAGAACCGGACACGCCTGCTTCACTGAGCATGCCTTGCGAGCATCTCTCTGCTAACCTGTTTCTTTCCTTCTTCGAAGTTGAAGATATACAATAAAAAAGAAAACATGAAAATACAAAAAAAACCCAAATAGAAAAACACACTTCTTCCCGGAAACTGTTCTTAACTCTCCTCCCTGGGACTTACTACTCCTTTCTCTCATGCATCTTTAGCTTCCAGTACACACGACTGAGTCCGTACTACATTAATTTGTATTTACTGATTTGATCTTCCCTAACACCCTATTCCACGATTGCATTTAGTTGAGTTTGATGCTCAAAAAAACCCCCTAAAAGTTGCTAGAAGACAAGGATATTAGTTCCTATTTCCTGCCAACACACAGTGGGCTTGGGACCAGGTTCCATGGTGTTCTTACATGAGTGATTTTGCCTGTCTTTTGACCCTGAAGCAGCCTCAGAGAGAAAAAGCTGCCTTTTATTTTGTACTCTCTTATTACTAAGTCCGAAAAATCTTCTTAATATAAACTTCCCAAATTGCAAATTCAGAAGTCATTTCTTCAAATGACATGTGTATAATGAAACTTATACAGACATAATCCCCCAGACAAGCCCCTCCGGGGTCTCCCATGCTGATAACGGGGTCAAGAAATGTGTTAAATCTTTGGAGTTTGAATTTTTTTTTTTTCCCCTTTGATGCCGAGTGGAGAAGTTGAAGGCCGATTCTGTGATTTCTCTGGATTGGGGTGTGGTGCCATGCTGGATTTTAGCTTCCGGTTCATGGGATTTAGTTGGTGCATCCTACAATTTTCTGCTACCTTCAGCACAGAGGTGGAAACAAATACTACAGGAGAGAGCATTAAGTGAAACTGTGTAAACTATGGGTGTGTCTATGATAAGGATATGGTGGTAGCGTATTAACTGGCATGTGGGTTTTGGTGGGTTTTGTTTGGTTTTTAGGGAAACCTGGGAAAAGCGCGGTCGGCCGCTAACCAAATAAATCCCCACAGCACAATATCCTGACCAATGTTTAGAGAGGGAGACTACAGTCTTCCAGTGGAAAGTATTTGTACGTAAGTCTCGGCCTCTGGCTTCATGCCTCTGAATCCAAATTGGCTTTCTGAGGCCACTTCAGAGCAGGGGTCCTATTTCTTCCTTGCTGTGGTAGCTGTGGGGGCAGGGAGGGCAGCCTACTGGCTTCTAGGTGGATCCTGCTACCCACCTTAGCCTTAGGGACAGGTTTCCACCAAGACAGACAACAGAGCCTGTCGCTCTTATCTTCCCAGCTTGTCCCCTGAGATAGCAACTCAAGTTCTGCTGAGAAACTTTACAAGGATGTAGTAGAAACCTTGTCGGTCGGAGGTTGGAGAAACCTTGATTCAAATCCTAGCTGGGCCACCCATTAGCTATGTGGTCCTCGTAAAATCAGCAAACTATCGGAGTCTCGGTTCCTTCGTGCATACACTGGGTTGGGGCAGGGGCGATGATGAGGAAGCGACTGTTGAGAACCTATCATCCCGTGCCCTGCACTGTGATGGATGCTTCGCTTTTCTGGAATCCCTTGACATCTCTGGATTATTGTGCAAGTTAAATTCAACAACATTTTGCATTTATAGCATTTAACAGTGATCAGGACTCAAGAAATGCTCAATAAAAGTCTTTTGCTGAAAAAAAGAAATGACAACAGTGACCTTGGGCCTGGCTCCCTTACTGAAATGGTCATGATATTGTCCAAATGGCATTCCCTGAACCCCCCCCCCCCCGGACCCCCCCCCCCCCTCCCGCCCCGTCCCGCTGAGTGGCTCCCTGGGTCAGCAAAACTGAAGCCAAGATCCAGGTGAGACGAGGAGTCCTTTTTACATAGTTCTCAGAGCTTATATAGTAAAAATATAAGATATTTTATCCCCAGCTAGATTATATAAACTCATTCTATGGGCACCCCAAATTCATAAAAACGTGCCACACATACAAGAGCGGTAATGGGCAAGAATTAGACACCTCACGATCTTTTTGGTCTCTTTCATGGTCTTTCACAATGTCCCTCCCACTGGTTCCCCCGGGAGTCCCTAAGCTGAGTGGATCCCTATCTGGCTACCCCGTAATCCATTCTCAGCACACTGTGTTGGTCTCTCCGTGGCATTCAGCACAGTGCCAGGCACAGAACGCCTACCACCAGCATGCACGGGACCCCTCAGCCTGAACCCGGATGCAAACGCAGAGATGCACAGCTGCGTATCGACAACGTGTACCTTGGATAGTTAGTGCAGTACTGCGTGTAAATGTGGAAATCTTCACTCTGCAAGGAAACAAAAGAGATGTTCAGAGGCAAAAAAAGCACAGGCATCAGTAGGCATTTAAAAACAATAAAAAGAAATACCGTTCATACCCATAAATTTGGCTCTGTCATCACGCAGGCCTGCCTGAGCCCCCATGGCAATGACCTATGCCTTTTTATCTACCTTGTTTCATACTAGAATCCACCTCGACTTGAACTCATCTGAGGTCAGTAAACACTTACTGAGCACCTGCTATGTTAGGTGAATCTGAAGGTGAAAAGGAAGAGGAGGAAAGTAAGGTTTCTGCCCCAGGTACTTATAGTCCTCCAGTAGATTTGCAACGTGAAAGAGAAATAGAAGTGGATAATTTAATTAGGGTGGTAAGAACATGGTAGAAGTATGTGCAGGGCACAAGAAAGCTGCCATATACTTTCAGGCCCTCACGTATACAATTATCTCTGCCCACTGTCTTTCCTACCTCTTGCATTGGATAGCCACTATGCTTCCTTTGACATTGAACTTAGGCTTTATTTCCTCCAAGGAGCCTCCCTGGAGCTTGGGCAGAGCCCACTGCTCCTACCCTGGGCTTCCACAACACCCAAATCTCTAGTAGCATTTACCAAACGACAGCGACGTTTTCTCTGCCTCTCTGTCTCCCGCTCTAGGCTGTGAGTTCCTGCAAGGTAGGGGTCATATGGTGTTCATCTGGCACAGATCGCTCATTGAACCACGGAATCCCCCTCTTTTCTACAAAACTGAAAATTATCTGAGAGCAGGAGTCATTGTTTTTGCAAACTCTAACATGGAATTACATTATGAAAAAGAGACATTACGTTATTTTGGTGGTATTTCATATTCTGCTCTTTTTACTTCGTAAGCTACTTCATGCTAGATTCACATGTGACTCCAAGACAGTGACTTTTTTTTGTAATTTTAATGCTTTAATTTTTTTCTTATTTAAAAGGAATGTCTACTTAGAATCCTTTCTGTTCACTTGACTAGGATTAGATTTAAAATGTGATATTATACAAAGTCTCCAGCATATATATATATAAAAGTAGAGAGGATGGTATAATGAATCACCAAGTATCCATCACCTGACCTCAGTAGTAACTCATGATCTATATCCACCTACTACGCTGTTTCCCCATCCCTCTGAAGCAAATTCTAGATATCAGATCACCACACTTGTAAATATTTTAGTATATATCTCCAGTATAAGGACTTTTATAAAGAAGCATCACCACAATGCCATTATCATATTTAAATAATTCCATAATGTGAATATTCAACACTCACTATTCAAATTTCTATCTTCTTTTCTTTTTTTAAATCGTTGGCCTATTTGATTTGGAGTCAAAATAACTCCACAAAGCAACCAGCTGGTATCTCTTAAGACTCTTCTAATCGATAAATTCCTCCCTTTATCCTTTTTCCCCTTGCAATTTAGTTGAAGAAACCAGATGGTTTGTCCTACAGAGTTTCTCATGGTCTGTTTTGCCGGTTATATCCCTACGGTTTCCGTTAATATGTTCCCCTGCCCCCTGCACTGGTGTGGTTCAGGGGAGATCGGATAGATTTAAGTTCCACAGTTTGGCAGGAATGCATCATAATTGTATCGTGCTTCCACCAGGAGGCACAGAATGTCTGGTTGTCTCTCTTTCTGTGATGTTAACCACCACTGGTCATTATTGCCTGATCCATTAATGCATTAGGAGCTGCCGGAAGGTGATATCTCTGACTCTGCTATTCCTTCCTCATTTATTAGTCAGAATCTTTCCAAAAAAAGGAACTTCCTTCTATTAACTGTTACCCTGCAGTTTGTAGTTGGTATGGGAAAGACAGGATGAATGCTTTGATTCTTTCCCTCTGCTTTCAAGATAATGCATTGGTTTTCTAGCATCCCACAAAAGCCACCATTCTGGGTTTTTTAATCACTGTGAATTCATGAATATAAACATATTTAATGGGTTTCAGTTGTTTCTAATTAATTATCTTTACTGATGCTGAAATGATCCCAGCTTTGATCAGCAGGAGCCTCTTCTCTAGTATTCGTGAACTTGACCTACAGATTCCGGGAGCTTCCTTGTTTTCTGGAATGACAAGATGTTCCAGACCACCTTATACATTTCCTGGCCCACACTCATTCTTCACGGGGCCCTGATTCCCTTTGGGTGCAACTTGTATTTGGAGACCACAGTCTGGGTATCAGAGATGGTCTTGCCACTGGGTTAATCGTTATTTCTAGGCCCTTTCAGTGGACAGACTTAGGAATATGGTGTTTTTTAAACATAAAATACATTCTTGGTTCAAACGTGCAATTCTGATTCAGGATTACAGTGTTTTTAATTAGCCTCATGATTACCCTGTGTTTTCTGTCTCCTACCAAATCCAGTTCAATGACACTAACATAAATACTCATTTGTTTTATCCCACAATACACTCGATTTCAGCATAACAATACCAACACCACCGTATTTGGTATCATTACTGACAACAGTTAAAAGTGTATTTGCTGTATTTTCTCCATTGTCTATTTTAAAATCAATTGGGATTTCTTTTGTGTGATTATGCCACAAAGTGGCTATATCAGTAGGCTCATCATTTCATTTTGCTTTCAGTTTTTTGGAGACTGCCTTTTTAACTTTAGTTTTATAATTATGAGAAAAAATATTTACATCGTTTCAGGGTCAACTCTATAAGAAAATGCATATTCAAAGAAGCCTAGCTTCTGTTCCTTTCCATTTTGGTCTATCCCTCCCTTATCAGTGATCAATTTTTAATTTTACAGTTCTTTTTTTTTTTTTCTTTTAAAGATTTGTTTATTTATTTGAGAGAGAGAGAGCACACGAGAGGGGTGAGGGTCAGAGGGCGGAGCAGACTCCCTGCCAAGCAGGGAGCCCGATGCGGGACTCGATCCAGGGACTCCAGGATCATGACCCGAGCCGAAGGCAGTCGCTTAACCAACTGAGCCACCCAGGTGCCCCGATTTTTTTTTTTTTAAGATTTTATTTATTTTATTTGTCAGAGAGAGAGAGAGAGAGAGAGAGAGTACAAGCAGGGGGAGTGGCAGGCAGAGGGAGAAGCAGGCTTCTGGCCGAGCAGGGAGTCTGATGCGGGGCTCAATCCCAGGACCCTGGGATCATGTTGACCTGAAGGCAGACGCTTAAGCGACTGAGCCACTCAGGCATCTCTACACTTGTGTTTTTGTCACTGTCTCTTTGGAGCAGATTTCTGGAAGGAGGACTGCTGGATTACAGGATGAATTCAAATGTAATCTTGCTAGATATACTCAAATTCTCCTCCACAGGGCCTGTGCCATTCTGTTCTTCCACAATTACAAGAGTGCCTGTTTCCCCATGCCCTCACCAACTGCGTAGGCCGCCAAATTTTCAAACATAGTACTTTTTAAAAGTTTAAATTAGTTGTCAGTTTCCAAAAGTTGCAAGATCAAAATACCTTGATTTCTGGTTTCTCCTGAAAACATATTAGATCCACGGGGCCTGGAGCCCAGTTTCATGTGACACTTCTGCCCTCATGAACCTGGGTGCTGTGGTGGCTCTTGCCCCCACCTGGGCCCACACACGTGCTACACTCACCGGTGTGCTTTGAAGGCGCTGGAGCGTCCAGCCCTGGCTCCATGGACAAGACCGGCAAAGTGATTTGCCCAAGGTAGTCTAGTAAAGTAATGTCAGATGGAGCCTTTCTCTGCATTTGCTCACACACTCTGAGTTTCTTGCTTTTCTCCTGCCTGCCTCCTGCAGCACTCAACATGCAATTGAATAATATCAGGTTGACTTTCCTTAAGTTTAGGGACTTTTAGGATCATCTGAAATGCCAAACTTGAAAATAATGGTTTCAGGGGCTCCTGGGTGGCTGGCTCAGTCAGTTAAGCATCTACCTCTTGATTTCGGCTCAGATCATGATCTCAGGATCCTGGGATCGAGCCCCATGTCGGACTCCCCTCTGGGTGTGGAGCCTGCTTAGGAATCCTCCCCACCCCCCACCCCGCTTGCACTCTTGCACACTCTCTCTCTAAATAAAGAACTAAAATCTTTAAAAAAAAAAAGGCTTCAATGAAAATATATCTAAATTACATCATATGCTTCACCTACATACACCTATCCCCAATAAAGCCTCAAGACTTCTGCACAATTGAATTGCTGTGTATTTTGTCACCTCATGGCTCTATTCCAATATTAAATTAGGTTTTGATTTAAATCAGCTCTATGTTCTTAATGTAGAATTGAATGTATGTTTGATCTTAGATTTATAAGTTCTGTGGACAATCCAAACAATGGTTTATACAAAAATCAATAGCTCCTAGTTAATCCTTAAATGCCTGTTATTCAATATATGTGCTACCCCAAATACTTTTTAGAAGTAATTAGGGAAAAAGAAGACAATGATAAAGAAATTAGATAAAAATAGATATTTCTTTCTGATTCAACTCTATCAAATTGTAATTAGAGATGCAAAAATGAGATGTTTAATTATGAAAGAACCAAAATAAAAGAGACAGTTAGGGCTGGCCAATTGGGCACATGGGGGCATTTGGCTGTTTATTGGTTGAATAGTAAAGAAATCTGTATGATTTTAGGGTTTCTTCTGTCATGGGGTCTATCTCTCTCTCTCTCTCTCTCTCTCTCTCACACACACACACTTTGATTCCTGAGAAGTTTTCACGAGACACATGAGAAAAGGCTTAATATGTAAGTAGCATCTGGGTGAGGTAACATGGACTTGAATTCATTCCAATGATATGAATGTTCAATGTCAGCACCTTCTTGAGGATAATCTCAATAAGTGGGCAGGGTGTGTGTGCAGCGCATACGTGGGTGTGCATGTCTAGGCACTGAAGGGAGAAGGGCACCAACGGGAGGGGAGAGAGGTTCAGGGGAAGTTGGGTCTCTGAAGATAAACTCTGTCTCCCTCCTAAATGCTGCCTAGGGTCAGCCCAGCTGATAGCCAAGATAAGAGACAGAAATGAGGATGGAGGTGAAGCAAGCAGGAAAGCAAGGAAACCCGTTCCAGGTGTTTCTAGAGCCCTAGGAGCAGACAAATGGGAGCTGAATCAGCTGGGAGACAGCTTGGCCCGCCCACTGGGGAACTTGTATTTCTGTCCCTCCAGAGAATGGCCCCTGCAGCCCCTTGTGCTTTGATAAGCAGCAGGTAAGAAGTAATGTATTCTCCTTTTGTCAGGAAGGATTTCGGTAACCTCCACATGCCACAAAATCAAGGTCAAAGATGAATCTCTGTGTAAGCCCCAGTGATTCAGATTAAAGCAGAAGTCAACCACCAGCCTTCCCTCTTTCATTAATGGCCTCTCAATTAAAGCAATTTTCCATTCCTCCCCAGAGTCGAGCAGCTGGTTGTGTTTCAGAAAACGTAACATCGTCTAAATTTCAGGGTGCTGAGTGAGAAGCACCCCGTGCCAGGACCAAACACTCTCTCACAGCACCCTGCCTCCATGTGAAAGTGTGGAGTGCTGAAGTCAGGCTTCTAATTAAACTTGGCAATATTACAATGAAAAAATGAGATCTGGGAGTTGGCAACGTGGCACATAAACAAACTTTTATGTGAATAATTAAGCCGGAGCTAAGCATATGCTGGACCGTCTTTAATCAACTTGTGATTACAGTTACCGGTAAAAGCCCGAGCGTTTCCGATCGCTCCCATGTTGTTTACGCGCCGTGGCTGTTTTAATATATCTTCTTTGATACACGCGGCACATCTTTTTCCCTGTCCTCCCTCTTCCCTCTCTTTTTCAAATTCCTGCCCTTTATAAGAATTAATTATGACGGCAACGTATGACAAGAATTGTGTGTGTAAGCACGTGTGTACACTTCACATGTTAACACGTGGGCATCCACGCACCCGCCCACAGTCAGGAGGGTTTTATATGCAAGCCCATCAACTGCCTTTAAGGAATCATGCTTCAATAAAACCTGGAGTGTTATGTCTGGATTTGAAACCACTGGATGGTCTGTGGCTGTAAGAAACGACCCTGAAACAAATCCTGAGCCAGGTCAGGATCCCATCTCGAAGTTCACAGCGCACTCCGCAGCTCTAAATGAGGCGCTAATGCCTGGTTGATCCCCGAGCACCGTCACGAAACTTGCTTACACTTCTGTACCCTTGAGACCACAACTGCGGAAATCACATGACGTTTCGCGGCAAAATAATTTCCACGAGACCTTTTCCAAACAAAAGTTGTTGCATTTTTAAGAGAAACTTAAGATAAGATTCTATATAGAGTAGGTAGCACGTGGGAAAACTCTGTCAAGGATTGTCTTGTATGTTTCAGAATCCTGGTGCGGGGTGGGAGCTGACCGTTTCATAAGCTTTTAAAGGTCAGATCCTTTTCTTCTATTTTTCTAAACCATCAATACAGCTTAAGAAAAAATGTAGGAAAATGAGAATGTATTTTTAAGATATAAGAGATTAATTCTGCATCCCCTTAGTCCCCTCCCCGCAATGATAATTACATAGCCTAGGCTAGTGCCACGTATATTATAGATAAAATACCTAGATTCTAGCAGATTTTTGTAGCTGGTCTTGAGGTATTCAGTGCATATTTATTTTTCAAACATTATTCTATTCTGGATTTTCCTCCCCACCAAGCTCAAATTTCTTTCTTAGGAAAGATGCATAAGCATCATTCAGTAATGATACAAGTTCTAAGACAACTACTAAGTTAGCATTTCCTAACTTACTGGGGACAGTAACACTTTTTTTTCCTTGCTAGTGGAAAGAAAGAAAAACAGAGTGAGAGAGATTAGCGGCTAACTTCATTCAGTATGGAACAAACCAGTCATTTTAACTTTAAAATGAAAACAATTTGCAATCTGCGTCCGTCTTGGTTGGCCCAGAGAAATGAACCCTGCTTACCTTGGACACAAAACATTCTGCTATGGCCACAGGATCATTTTCACAGTTTTCCAAATCTTGCAGAAGGTCACTAATAAAAAAATAATAGCCAGAAAGTATTAGATTATAGTCTGATGATCGAGACCATTTTATGTAACTCATAGGTCTACACATTTATATGGCATTTACAAGGAATTTTTTTTTTTTTAGGTAAGGATTTAATAGCGGTCAAAGCCAAAGTACACTCTCGAGGTAGGAGAGCAGGCAGGCCCAGAGGTGGCAACTGCTACAAGGAATCATACTTAACTGGATAACTGAGGACCTATTGTCATTAGGTCCAAGGCTTAGATTAGGGACTTGCCCAAGGTCATGGTACCCCAGGGATTTAAATACAGGTCCGACCTTTAACTCTCCCACCTAGAGATAACAAGCCCTGCCTGACATTTAAGTCTTCTAGACGGTTGGCATTGTCTGTATGCATGTTCACACACACTTACTTACTCATTCATCAAATAGCTGTCTAGGTACCAAATGCCAGGCAAGGCATAAGAACAAACACATCAGTGAGCTAAAGGAGATATGGTCCCTGAGTGCTTGGAGCTCGGAATCCATTGGAAGAGTCAGACATTCCATGAAAGATCACACTAACAAATTTAAAATTATAAACAGAGTGGGAGCGCCTGCCTGGCTCAGTTGGTAGAGCATGGGACTCTTGATCTCGGAGTCAGGAGGTCAAGCCTCAGGTTGGGCATAGAGCTTACTTAAAAAAAAAAAAATTATAACTGGAGATAGTGCTCTAAAGGAAAAATATGCTGGGAGACAATATCTTTCCTCGGATGAAAATCTATCTTATTTTTTAATGGCAGTAGCATTATTTTAAGGAACTGCATACTATTTCTTTGTGTGGATACAGTATAATTAATGTAACAAACTTACTATTAGATAAAATTAAATTCCTGCCTCAAAGGGCATCACAGAGTTAAATGGTAACACATTTCCAAATTGCACTTTCTATAAGTTGTATTAATACATATTTTATTATGTTCAGTGTTTATTTTAATAAGAGGTATATTACATATTTAATAAAAAGTTAAATAGGGGCGCCTGGCTGGCTTGGTCGGTAGAGCATAGGATTCCTGATCTCAGGGTCGTGAGTTCAGGCCCCACACTGGGCGTGGAGACTACTTTAAAAAGATGAAAATAAGTTAAATAGTAAAGCTAAATAATAAAAACAAGCAGTTTCTTACTTTCTGTTTCCTGTTCTCTACTGCCACTCTCGAGAAGCATTCTCAACGTCTTGCTGTTTCTATCCATGGCTCTAAACATGCCGATACAGCATTTTCAGCATTTTTTGAGATATTATTTACTTCTTAATTTCCCAAACTTCCCCTCATCTGATCTCAATGATTTCTATTATGAAATTTGATTAGATTAAAAGTCAGAGCTTACATTTTGAAGACTGTATAAATATTATCCTCAGCTGAGGCTGGGAGTATACCATAATTACATTTCCTTTCTTGTACAACCATGTTTTCCCTAGAGTTAAAATCATCCACCCCTTCCCCCCCCTTTTTTTTTCCTTAGTTTTCCAAGTACACACCACTAATTTATCCTCAAACTTTGCGCTGGAAGGGTAACTCTCGCCTCCCTGTGTTCAAACATCAGATCACCTATTGGTTGTATTCTTTCTTGGTCATCTCCCTGCTGGAGCCCTCAGTCCTTCCGCCCTCATCTGAACAGGTTAACCTGCTCTCCACACCTGCTGGGTTCTCCCAGCACCATCCTGATGATGCACTTCACCGGCTCCTGTGTTAGATGCCCTGTTTCTTAGCTACCATTTCAGATGTATCCTTCTTTGGGCGATTACAACAGCCAGTAGCTGTCTGAGTCAAGGTAATAGGCAATACATTTTCTGAGACTCTTCCTGTTTTAGAATGTTCTCCCTTCCCACTTGGCTGATCATGTTACTGGATATAGAATTCTTGGTTGGAAATAATTTTCTCTGAGTATTCGGGAAACTATCTGTTGCCTTATGAATTCTAATGCTGCTGAGAAGTCCAGTAACATTCTGATCCATGATCCAGGATTCATGTGACCTGATTTTCTATTCTGGAAGCTCTTAGAATTGTCCCTTTGTTAACATAATTCTGAAATTCTGTGATGGCTGACTTTGGGGTCTTTTTTTTTTTTTAAGATTTTTAATTTTTTATTAGAGAGAGAGCACAAGCAGGGGGAGTGGCAGGCAGAGGGAGAAGGAGAAGCAGGCTCCCTGGGGTGAGCAGGGAGCCCGATGTGGGGCTCAGTCCCAGGACCCCGGGATCACGACCTGAGCCAAAGGCAGACGCTTAACCATCTGAGCCACCCAGGTACCCCAACAAGGGGTGAGTCTTTTCATGCACTGAGCCAACTTGACTATTTGGGAAATGTTCTTGAGCATTACTTCTCCAAGTGACCCCTGGATTCCTGAGACCCCTTCAGGAGTCCGTAAAGTCACTATTTTCATAAAAATTCTTAGGCAATATTGGCTTTTTTACTTTCATTCTTTCATGAGCATACAGTGGACTTTTTCAGAGGTGACAGGACTTGGGATGAGGAAACAGATGGAAAGTAGAAGCTCACTTAAGAATCCAGTGATTTTCTAGTAAGTCAGACAATAAAGAAATTTGCAAAAATGTAAACCAATTCCAAAATATACCCAAATGTTAGGGGGAAAAGCAGTAAAATTATTTTTCTAAAAATGTGTGGGTTCATTATTATTGAATAAATTGAAGTTTTAACAATTTTTCAGTTTTAATTTCTATCATGGTAACCAAAACATCATACACCATAAATTAAAAAAAACTTTTTGGGTCCTTAGTAATTTTGAAGTTATGTACAGATCCTGGGACCAAAAAGCTAAGGAACCTCTACGCCTAAATTAGGTCTTTGATATTTCCTTCCCCCATTTTCTTTTCTCTCTTTGCAGCTCCTATTATTCACATTTTAGATTTCCTGGTGTGAAACTCTAATCTTTCTTATTCTTCCTCTCCTATTTTCTATCTTCTTGTTTATTATTTGTTTTCTGGGAGACTTCAATTTTATTTTCTGTCCCCTCTATTAAATGTTTTCCTTTCTACTATCTGATTTTTAATTCCAGAGTGTTTTTTTTAAATATGCTCTTTAGATGGTTCTTATATTTCTGTTCTTACGAGTGCAAAATTTCTCTCTAAAGATGATGGTATTACTATTATTATTATTATTAATTATTTGCGGCTTTTCTTTCCTGCCTTTTTGCTTTCTGCTGAGCTCTCTTTACTCTGTTTGATCCTTTTGGCTTCTGTCATTCATTTTAGAGGCTCTCCCCAAATATCTGGGATCTTCAATTGTCCTTTCCTATTTGAAGGTGAGAGATGACAATGCCGACTGTAAACTACGTGAGAAGTGGAGCTTTCCACGGGCCCTCTTCACTCAAGGCAGCTCTTCTCCAACTTTGTACTATTATGACCTGTATACACTCTAAAAAATTCTTTATGTGAATTGTATCTACTGATATTTATTAGAAATTAAAATTAAATATTTTTGAAATCGGTCAATTCATTTAATAAGTCCAATACATGTTAATATAAATAACTTTTGTGAAAAATAGATTTTATAAAACAAAAGTTAGTGAGAGGAGTAGCTTGGTTTTACATTTTTGCAAATCTCTAATGTTGACCTTAATGGAACACCGATGGATTCTCTTATCTGCTTCTACATTCAATCTGTCACAATCTGTTATTTTTTTTTAAGATTTTATTTATTTATTTGAGAGAGAGAGAAAGAGAGTATGAGTGGAGGAAGAGGTGCAGAAGGACAAGCAGACTCCCCGCTAAGCAGGGAGCCCAACGTGGGACTCGATCCCAGGACCCTGAGATCATGACCTGAGCTAAAGGCAGATGCTTAACTGACTGAGCCAGGCAGGCACCCCTGTTATTTTGATGAAATACACAGAAAACAATCTAGCCTCACATAGATATATCACTGGAAAAGAGAGGAGTCTTTGAATACCTATTGAGAAAAGTGTGGATACTCTTTGATATTACACTGAAACTGAATGTATGATAATTTCTTAGAGATCTGTTGGAGTCTGAAACCATACCAATGCACTATACCTTGTTACTTTAAAATCCATTGGTCTATCTTGCACATTGAAAGGATCTTTTACCAGTGTTACCAAAGCATGATTTCAGGATAGTCCCAATTACAAACAGTCATTCCTAATATTCCTTTTTTTTTTTTTTTAAGATTTTATTTATTTATTTGACACAGAGAGAGAGAGCACAAGCAGGGGGAGTGGCAGGCGGAGGGAGAGGGAGAAGCGGGCTCTCCGCCGAGCAGGGAGCCCGACGTGGGGCTCGACCCCAGGACCCTGGGATCATGACCTGAGCCAAAGGCAGACGACTAACTGACTGAGCCACCCAGGTGCCCCCATTCCTGATATTCCTATAAAAACATTCCCTTTGTAAGATTATTTTTACTTCGGAAAATACAATCCTGATATTTATACCAATATCTCTTACAGATAGATGGGTATGAATAAATTAAAGAGAGTTGAAATCTAACCATTGGGACCTAAGCACTGGATGAAGAGAAACGGTTGAAGAAAAGTAATAGTCAAAGCAGCAATATTTCTGGGCCAGTGATTTCCATTACTGGAGGATGGAGTGCTCAAGATCTAGGTTTTGTGTCCAGGTCTTTCAATACAAATCCTCTTCCTGATCAGAGAAGAATTTTGAGCAGAATCCATCTAGCTTAACAGAAATATTCCTTGACAATACTCAACTCCCTGTGTTCTATATGTTATGCTAATCAATCTCCCTTTGAGCTCTACCTTCATCTCCAGAGTGGACTACCTGGTAGGAGGAAGTGTCTCGGGGGACGCACCCAGGCTCCAGGTATAGCTCACCTGTAAATGAATGACTGGCATTCATTGCTCAAACCACAGGGTGGGAGGGGCTCACACACTTTCCAGTCCAACCCCTAATTTTAAGGTGAGGAAATCATGGCTCATACAAGGGAAGTAGCTTACCTTAGTTCACGCAGCTAATAATTAATGGCCACAGCTGGGGTTAG